TGTGCTCCAGTCTGTGCTCCTGACACAAGGCAATCATGGCCTTGTTGTCTACGTACAGAACTGGAGGCGAACGAGGCTGCTCTTCCAAGTCAGTCAGCAGGTAGGTGAGCCAGCGTAGCTCCTGTGCAGCCATGGCTCCTGCGTAGATCTCAACTGTTTGGAGCGGTCGATGACGCCGCCGGGGACGACTCCGTACCAGCTGCTGACCGGGCAGAAGCCCGACCTTACGCTGGCGCGGGTGTGGGGCTGCATGGTGCAGTTCATGGTTCCCGAGCAGCAACGTGGTGGGAAGCTGGCGCCGAAGCATGAAGTTGCCGTTGGGCTCGACATCACGCCGTCGACCGGAGCAGATCCCCCGTGTGTCTCGTGCGTTGGAGGGAAGTTGGCGCGGCACACCTTCCCCGACAAGGGCTCGGACGCCGAGGAGGCACTGGCTGTTGTGCACATTGACTTGTGCGGGCCATTTTGGGTGGCTGCCAAGGACGGCAGCTTGTATTTCCTGCTGCTGAAGGATCGTCATACTTGGTTCGTGTGGGTGATGCCAGTCGCTAAAAAGATCGACGTGCTGCGGGAGTTCCAGAAGTGGCTGGTGCTGGTGGAACGGCAGACGAAGAAGTCGGTGCTGTCGCTTCGCTCCAATCGAGGAGGGGAGTTCCTCGGCAAGGCGTTCACCGACTTCGTCGATGGGAAGGGCATCGTCCACGACCTGACGTGCCCATATACTCCGCAGCAGAATGGCATGGCTGAGCGGGAGATGCGCACGGTCGTCGAGTCTGTGCGGACGATGCTGCTGCACATGGGCGTGCAGCACCACTGGTGGCACCTTGCTCTACGACAAGCGGTCTGGGTGCGCAACTGCATGGAGCGGTCGATGACGCCGCCGGGGACGACTCCGTACCAGCTGCTGACCGGGCAGAAGCCCGACCTTACGCTGGCGCGGGTGTGGGGCTGCATGGTGCAGTTCATGGTTCCCGAGCAGCAATGTGGTGGGAAGCTGGCGCCGAAGGCTCGCTAGGAACTTCACCTGGGTGTGTCGCCGGAGAGCAAGGGCTGGGAGGTGCTCGACCTGACCGACAACAAGGTGGTCACGTCGGTCGAGGTGATCTTCTACGAGACGATGTCGCTGGAGGTGTGGAAGGCGAAGTATGGGTCGGCGTCGGGGCGGACGCAGGCACACCCGCCGACGGACACCTCAACGGCGACGGTTCCACTGCTCGCCGAAGTCGACGAGCCTGCTAATGAGGATGTTGTGGAGGTTCTTCCGCCTCCCCCTGTTCTTGCTCCTCCCTCTCCTGTCGCAGATCGGCCTGCTTCGACACCTATGTCGGCCACCGGCGATGAGGGGAGCCTTGAGGCGTCGCCTGTGGCGCCGACTAGTGGCATCGCCGGCGGTCGACCAGGCGCCAAGCTCGTCGACCAGGATGGGAAGCCGTCGACGACAGGGGAGCACCTGACAGGGGAGCCGGTCGAACAGGAGGCAACAGCAGAAGTGCACTCGACAGGAGAGCAGCAGCCGGGGCGGTCGACAGGGGAGCTGTCGAAGTCAGCAGCAGGCGAGCAACCGGTCAAAGGGTCGAAGCAGCTGGTCGACGACGAGGACGTCGACGAGGAAGGGGAGCAGTCGGCAGGTGAGGAGTCCACCGACAGCGACGTGGTAGAAGTGTTGATCACGAAGCCTGAGCTGCGACGCACAGGTCGAGCTCGACGGCCTCCGGAGCGGCTGAGCTTCCACGCCTGCCTACCGCCAGCTGCCTTCACCACAGTGTACGACAAGGTCGACAACGACCTGTTGTACGACAGCGCCGAGGAGGATGAAGACTTGCCGGAGCTCGACCCCGATGTGCATGCCGACCCCGAACACCTCTGGGACTTCGCCACGATGACGGTGAAGGAGGCGCTGTCGAGCTGGAAGGGCGAGGCGGTGAAGGCTGCCATGGAAGAAGAGATCCGCAGCCTCATCGGCATGGGCACTTGGGAGCTGGTCGAACGCCCACGCGGGGTGAACATCATGAAGAACCGGTGGGTGCTGACGACTAAGTACCGCATCGACGACACCGTCGAGCGCGAGAAGGCGAGGTTGGTCGTGAAGGGCTTCGCGCAGGTGTACGGTGCGGAATACGACGAGACGTACTCGCCGGTGAGCAGCTACGTCACGCTGAGGATCTTCCTCAGCATCATCGCCGTCCTCGACCTCCACCTGATGCAGCTCGACATGAAGAACGCTTTCCTGCAGAGCAAGCTCGACAGGGTGCTCTACATGTACCAGCCGGACTACTTCGACGACGGGACCGGCCGAGTGTGTAAGCTGCTGAAGAGCCTCTACGGGCTGAAGCACTCACCGCTGCTGTGGTACAGGGCTCTCGACAGTGTGCTGCTGGGCGCTGGATGGAAGAAGAGCCAGGTCGACGAGGCGCTCTACTTCAAGGCCGGCGACGACGCAGTGACCTGCTGGGTGCTGGTCTACGTCGACGACCTGCTCGCCGCCAGCAGCAGCACTGCGATGCTGAAGGAGCTGAAGGAGCTGCTGGAGGCCGCCTTCGAGCTGCGTGAGATCTCGCCGGTGGTGAAGTACCTTGGGCTGGAAATCGTGCGCGACAGGCCGGCCAGGAAGCTGTGGCTGCACCAGCAGGGCTACGCCGACAAGATGCGCAGGCGCTTCATCGACGAGGAGCAGGGCGGTCGAGTCCCGAAGACGCCGGTCTCGGTCGACGCCTACGCTCAGCTGGCGTTCGACGATGAGGAGGCTCAGGAGCGTGAAGAGGAGGAGTACCGGCAGAAGGTCGGCTCACTGCAGTTCGCAGCGACGACGAGGAGGCCGGACATCGCGTTTGCCTGCAGCAAGCTGGGGAGCGGCCTCACGGTGAGGAGCGACCAGCATTGGCGCGAGGTCGACCGCTGCCTCGCCTACCTCGCCACCACCCGCGACACCGCCCTGGAGTTCGGCGGTGGACCAGAATCGTTGGAGCTGATCGGCTACGTCGATGCCGACGAAACGGGCAACAAGCAAAACCGGACGAGCACGGGAGGCTACGCGTTCGTCTACGGAGGGGCCGCCGTCTCCTGGTCGAGCTCGCGCATTAAGTGCGCGACATTGTCATCGACCGAGTCGTAGTACGTGGCGGCCACGGATGCCGGCAAGGAGGGGCGTCGACTTCGCTTCCTCCTTGCGCAATTCAAGCTGCCCGACGCTGGGAAGCCGACCATCCTCCGCGTCGACAACAAGTCGTCAATCACGGTCGCTGAGGGCTTGGGGTTGACGGGCAACCTCAAGCACATGGAGCAATGCTACGCCTGGCTGCAGCACATGATGAGGCGCGGGAAGTTCGTGCTGAAGTACATCCCGACCACCGAGCAGCCGGCGGACTTCCTGACAAAGGCTCTGCATTTTCCGGCTTTCAACCGATGCTCTGTCGCCATCTGCCAAGTTCGTCTGGCCAACGTCGGCGACAGCGACGATGAGGTGCAGCAGTAGGTGCCGTGCCCTTCTGCACGGCTGGTGCGGTGACGGCGTGCTGTGTGTTGGGTGCACGCCGAGGATGAGTATTCTCCGTGGACTACTGCCGTGTGGGCTGGAGGCCCAAGCGTGAGCGCGGCAGGGGAGTGTTAACGGGAGTGGAGTGTTGGCCCCGCCCTTGCTTGGGCAACGCCGACAACTTGGTCGGATGTACGGAAGTAGCAGCCGACCGTTCACAGTGGGAGAGCTGCTCGACAGGCATCGTCGAGCTGCAGGGGACCACTATGGTGCTGCTGTCGACCAGGGAGCTCGACAACTGCAACTGACTGATCTAGGCGACGGGTGGGCTATCGACCAGGAGGGGCAGTTCGACCGGGAGGTCGACGGAGCAGTCCGTCGACCTGCCGAGTGAGCAGCGGTCGACGCGGGGAGCTCGGCGACAACCGCTGACTGTTTCGGTCGACGGAAGGGGTCCGTCGACCCGAGGGTAGCTCGACGGGAGCTGTGGTCGACCAGGGGCGCCTGGTGGTCGACCAGAGGGACCTGGTGGTCGACCAGAAGAAGTGGTGGTCGACTGGAAGCACCTGGTGGTCGACCGGGTCGACCGGGTAAGGTGCTCGACGAGTTCTGCGGAGGCATGCGAACGTCGTTGAGGTCGCGATGGCGAAGGCGACTGCGGGCTGGTATTCCGAAGTCGATGTGGCTCGCCAGGCGCAGACAACAGCCGACGGATGCCCAACGAGGCAAGTCGGGCCAATCGTCTGCGCGCACCTGTGAGCGTGCGCACTGATGTGTTCTGCGGGGCAACGCTGGACAGCCGCTCTGCTGCAGCGTTGGCACGCCGTCGACCTGCTCTGTTGGCAGGTCGGCCTTCTGCAGTGCAGGCGCGACTCCTCTACGCAACGCTGGCAGGCGGTCGACCGAGCTGTGCTGGCGGTCGACCAGGCTAGCTGCAGGGTTGCTAGGTGCCTGATGTAGTCATTCTGTCATTGCTTGTTCTATGATTCTGTAATTTTAACTTTGCTAGTGGAAACTCTTGCCGATTACTCCCGTGAATGTGCAAACACTAAGGAACCAAGCAAAGCTACGATCACTCCTAGTAGTTCGTGCCAACCCTGTCAAACTATGTTTTGCATAGTTTATATAACTTTTTGTAGTTAGTGTTAGTGTAGTTATATATTTGCTTATCTGGTGGTGCACCTCGGCTAGTTTGCTATATGTACCTTGTGTGCTATAGTGAACCCCCCATTCTCACTTTCTCTTGGCACAAACTCTCTCGACATACGTTGGCCTAGGCTCCTAAGCCTAGGCCTACTAGTTAAACCCGTTCGCTAGTTAAGACGCTATCGTGACATGGTATCAGAGCTATCAAGATCCTAGACCTACGTTAATGGGCCCATCATTCCCGCCCGCTGCTGCCCGTAGACCCGCCCGTCGCATCCTGCACATGGCGAGCGCCGTGCTGGCCCGTCGCGCCACGCTTGCCTCGTCGTACCCTCGCTGGCGAAAACGCGACATTCGGGTCGCGAAGGTCGCTACGAACTGCATGCTGGCCGTCGCGGCCTTGCATCACCGCCACCAGCAGCGCCAGCCGCGACATTTGCGCCAATCAGCACGAATCGCGACAAAATCACCAGCAGCCCCAGCCGCTCCTTCGCCCGCCGTCGCTCTGCCCGTCGCAATCCCCCCGCCCCCTGCCCGTCACCCCCCCCTCGTCCCGACTGTTCGCGTGTGCAGCGGCGGTCGCTGTGGGGGGGGTAGTCTAGCTCACTACCGTTGTAGAGTGTCTCTCCGCAGGCTCCTCCTTAACTCCTGTTTCCAGCCTCGTTCCCTCGTGCTGCCCGCCTCATTCCCCCTTCCTTCTCGCCTATCCCTCTTGCTACCCGCCCCATTCTCCCTTGCAACCTGCCTCATTCTCCCTTGCTACCCGCCTCATTCCCCCTTGCTACCCGCCTCATTCCCCCTTGCTACCCGCCTCATTCCCCCTTGCTACCCGCCTCATTCCCCCTTGCTACCCGTCTCATTCTCCCTATGCGCACCGCACCATTCACTCGTGTTTCCAGCCTCGTTCCCTCCTGCTGCCCGCCCCATTTCTCCTTGCTTCCCGCCTAATTCCCCCTTGCTACCCGCACTATTCTCCCTTGCCACCTGCCCCATTCTCCCTTGCCACCTGCCCCATTCTCCCTTGCTACCCGCCTCATTCCCCCTTGCTACCCACCCCATTCCCCCTAGCTACCCGCCTCAAGGTAGTGCTTAGGGTTCTCATAGTGTTTGGACTTCTGACCAGAGGACTTCTGAGCATGTAACCTCCGCTCCAATTTTGAGAATACTAGAGGACTTCTGAGCATCGTCAAGGGGGAATAGCCAGGTCGATGAGGCGATGTACTTCAAGATCGGCGACGACGGAGTGGCGTGCTGGGTGCTTGTCTACGTCAACGATCTGCTTGCCGCAAGCAGCAGCACTGCGATGCCAAAGGAGCTACTAGAGGCCGCCTTCGAGCTGCGCAAAATCAGCCCAGTCGAGAAGTATCTCGGGCTGGAAATCAAGCGCGACCGTCCTGCGCGGAAGCTGTGGCTTCACCAGCAAGTCTACGTCGACAAGCTGCATCGGCGTTTCATCAACGAGGAGCAGACCAGGCAAGTGCCGAAGACACCGGTCTCCGACGACGCCTACGCAGAGCTAGCGTTCGACGACGAGGAGTTTCAGTCGCGCGAGGAAGCAGAGTACCGGCAGAAGGTCGGCTCGCTGCAGTTCACGGCCACCACGACGAGGCCCGACATTGCCTTCGCTTGCAGCAAGCTCGGATATGGCCTAACAGTGCAGAGTGACAACCACTGGCGTGAGGGTGATCGCTGTCTGCACGACCTCGCTAAAACCCGTGACGCCGCGCTGGAGTTCGGCGGCGGATTAGAATCGCTGTGTCTGGTCGGCTATGCAAATGCCGACGACGCTGGTGACAAGCAGAATCGGACGAGCACGGGCGGCTACGTTTTCGTCTTCGGAGGAGCCACAGTCTCTTGGTCGAGCCAACGCATCAAGTGCGCAACGCTTTCGTTGACCGAATCAGAGTATGTCGCGGCTACCGAAGCTGGCAAGGAGGCTCGTCGTCTGCGCTTCCTCCTTGCGGAATTTTGCCTACTCGACGCAAGGAAGCCGACTGTTCTACACGTGGACAACCAGTCGGTGATCACTGTCGCAGAAGGCTTGGGGCTTAAGGGCAACCTCAAGCACATGGAGCGACACTACGCCTTGCTGCAGCAGAGGGTGAAGCGCGGAAAGATTGCTCTGCAGTACATTCCGACCTCCGAGCAGTCGGCAGATTTTCTGACGAAGGCGCTGCATTTTCCGGCTTTCAACCGGTGCTCCATCACAATCGGCCAAGTGCGTTTGGCCGACGTGGGCGACGGGGATGACGAGGTGCAGCAGTAGGTGTCGTGCCCTTCTGCACGGCTGGTGCGGTGATCTACGTGCTGTGTGTTGGGTGCACGTAGAAGGAATTTTCTCCTTGTATTCTATCCCTCTGGGTTCTGGGTGGACCTTGTGTGTGGGTGCCCAAGCGTGAGCTGGGCAGGGGAGTGTCGAAGAGAAAGGCCCCGCCCTCGCTTGGGCGCAGTGTCAAACTATAATGCTACTTGTGTTGTGTAGGCTGTAGTGGGGTAGCCTATATGGGGTACAACCCAATTAGGGTTATACTTGTACTCAGTTTGATGTCAATGCAATCATTATACTTGTACTCAGTTTGATGTCAATGCAATCATTATACTTGTACTCAGTTTGATGTCAATGCAATCAGTTTGGCTAGCACAAGACCGCTAAGGCCCTTTACGACGCTGTAGTGGCTCGATACTCCTCCCCTGCCACAGCTGAGCTTAGCCGCCTCATGCTGCTCTACCTGTTTTGTGAGAGTACGACGGCTTATGCCAGCTATGCTTGCTTGCCTTTACTTTATCATGCTATTTCTAGCATTGTGTTGGTGCAACCCTACGGTTTGCACTCGGCTTGTTGTCCGTGTGTGTGAATGTGTGTGTGTATGGAATGGTATGAGGGCATGGGATAATATATATTTCATGCTTATAATTGTGTGTGAATGTTGAGTCATGATGTCGAGTGTGTGTGTGGAGTCAATAGCGAGTTATCGCTAGACGCGTGTTACGCGGTCGTTTGTGTCTCGCGCGCGGTTTCTATTTTGTCGTGCGCGGTTTCTATTTTGTCCTGTGTCGAACGTTCGGCCTGTCGCAGGTGTGTGCAGCAGACCCATCAAGAACTCAAGGATGAGTTTGTGATGAAGAGCCCGAGCCTTGGTGTCAAGCCTCAAGTGATTTCGAAGCTTGCCAAAAAGGGTACACCTCAAGATATTGAAGATAGTTACATTACTTTGTGTAGTGTAACATTTCACTTGGTGTAGGCCCTAGTGAAGGGTAGTTTCGAGACCCTTCGTGGTTGGGGACAGTGTGGCACTGTTCCACATCACTGTACCTCGGCTCTTGGGGTTTGTAGGAGCTGGGAGTCATTCCCAACTCGTAACTCTTCCTATCTTGTGTTCTAAGACTATAGTGGCTGCCATAGTACCGTTCGTTCAAACCGACGCTGTGTCGTCAATTCTTTATCAAATCGTGCAATCTAAATTGCTAATTGTAGACGACGTGAAGACGCTCCAGATCCAATTTGAATCAGGTCATTTGCAGCTGTGAGCAGAACGCTATCAACGTTTGAAGCCGCTGTGCAGAAATCCGTCTGTGCTCTCTATCTTTCGTTTTAGGCACATTCAAGCCTATTGTGACTATAACAAGTGGTATCAGAGACCCTTGGAGCAGTTTCGACAATGTATGGACCTGAGGAAAGGGGTGGCAGAGGTGCTGGTGGCAGTGGAGAAGCTCAAGCTCAAGGCCAACCCCGTGATTCAGCCATGGCGCCCATGCAACCAAGTCTTGGCCCACCTAGGGATGAGCCTACGGTGTTTGGGCTTGACAAGTTCAACGGTGACAACTTTGCTGAATGGTCCTTCAAGATGGAGAACATCTTTGACCACTATGACCTGCTGGAGGTGATGGAAGGAACGGAGAAGCGCCCCGAGAACGACCCGGAGAAGAGCCCGTGGGTGCGGAAGAGCGCACAAGGCTATCTCTTACTTGGGCAAGCGTTGGGGAGCAGTCAGATCCGTCACATCAAGCCATTCCAGCGTGAACCAGAGAAAGGACCAAAGGCATGGGCTGCTCTCAAGGGTGTACATGCTCCTGCAACAGCGGCGGTAGCGGTGGTGTTGGAACGGCAAATGGCGGCACTACGAATTGAAGAAGACGAAGCGGTTGAAGAAGGGGTGCAGAAATTCTTCGACTTGTTGACGCGGCTTGAGGGAGCTGATTTGAACTACAGTGAGCTCCAAAAGAAGACCAAGTTGCTGGCCTTACTCCCAGAGTCATGGTCCTCGCTCATCATCAACCTTAATCGCGACTTGCCCCGCCTTTCGCTTGAAGACGTGAAGCGAGCTATCCTTCAAGAGGATTTCCGCCGCCGTGAGTTGGCGAGTGCGGATGGCGCTGGGGCAGCGAGCATCGGCCGTGGATATGGTCGAGGAAGAGGCAGAGGACGAGGGGGAGGAAGGTTTGGTGGCAGCAACTTCGGCGGAGGCCGCAGGAGTGGCGGTTACGGCAGCGACGACAAGAGCTACGGACGCGGTCGCGGCCGATTCGACGGCGAGTGTCACTATTGCCACAAGAGCGGACACATGTGGCGCGACTGCTACAAACTCCCTGATGGTTGGACCCCTGCTCAAGGCCAAGAGGGTAGAGGAGCAGGAGGAGGGAGAGGACGAGGCCGTGGAGGCCGTGGCGGTCGCGGTGGCGGAGCTGCAAACATGAAGAGCGGAGACAACGACAAGGACTCGAGCGACGATCGATACCCGGGTCTATTCTACTTCGTGTCGACGCAAGTACCGGCTGGTCCAGAGAAGGATGAAGGCCTTGAGGAGCCAGCAGCTGTGGGGAAGGTGACCCTACACCCCCTGGACTATTGGGTGATTGATAGTGGCGCTACCTATAGCATGACACCTCGCCCGGACTTGCTCACCGAACTCGAGCCGTCACCGGTGAAGCATGTCACATCGGCTTTGGGGCAGCGAGCAGAGGTGAAAGGCATGGGCAAGGCCATGTTCAAGGGTGCTGATGGGAAGATGGTGGGCCTCAAGAACGTGCTTTGGGTGCCCAGCCTTGCTGCAAACCTGATTTCCGTGCGGCGGTTGGCAAAGGCCGGCATGGACACGAACTCGAAGGGAGCCAAGACCTACACCGCAAGGCTTGGCGATCGAATTCTTTGGGACCTTCATGAGGACAGGGATGTCTACAACGAGATGTGGCAGATCCCAGTGGTCCCTATGCCTAAGGAGAGGCAAGTGGCAGCAAGCATCAGCACCAAGGATGGAGCGGTCGGTAGCGACGATGGCGCGAACGGTCGCGCTAAGGAGAATGAGCTCAAGAAGAGCAAACCTGGAGGGACCAGCAAGTTCAGTGAACCTAAGGAGAGTGGTGCAGCAACCAAGGAGCAGCAAAAGGGTGAGGAGAACCCAGAGGCAGCAGCGGAGGAGGACTACGGAGAGAGTATGTGGGGCGCTATTGCGAGCGCGGCATTCTCCAATCCAACTTCGGCTACGGGGGAGTGTGATTGGCTCACCTTGCATCGGCGCATGGGGCATGTGGCCCTGCCCATCTTGCAGCAGCTAGTGAAGAATGAGATGGTTGCTGGCATACGTGTGAAGGGGGAGCCCGATGAGGTGCTTGGCTGCCCGACGTGCATTCAAGCCAAGTTCACCCGGTTTCCGTTCCCTAGTTCGGAGGCAACGGCAAAGGCACCGCTTGATGAGGTGGTGATGGACGTGGTGGGCCCCCTGAAGCTTGGAGCTGCTGGAGCTGAGTATTTTCTCACCATTGTCGACGTCTACACCCGCATGACTTGGGTGTACGTGCTGGCCAAGAAGAGCGACGTGGCTGAAACGTTGAAGACGGATTGGTTCCCGATGGTGGAGCGGCAACAAGACCGTCTAGTCAAGTCAATCCGCACCGATCGAGGGGGAGAGTTCCTGAGCAAGGAGTTTGGGTTGTGGCTGAAGAAGAATGGTATTCGGCACTCCCTCACCATGCCATACTCCCCTGCAATGAACGGCATCGCCGAGCGAGCGAACCGCACAATCACAGAGGCGGCACGCGGGTTGCTCATTGAAGCCGGGCTACCCGACTATTTCTGGCCTGATGCGGTGCGGAGCG